CTCTCTCTCTCTCTCTCTCTCTCTCTCTCTCTCTCTCTCTCTCTCTCTCTCTCTCTGTGTGTGTGTGTGTGTGTGTAAAGGTCCACTTCATGGCAGACAAGCATCTTGTTTACCCGCCGTTTTGCTTCATCCCTGTTATGGCACACGGGGATGAAGGCAGCTGACGCTAAACCACGGTCAACGTGCCCAGTCTTGTACATGACAGGCACATCGAAAAGGGAGCTGCAAGAACAAATGGAAGGGGTACCCCAAAGAAAGCAAAAGTAAAGATAGTCAAGAAAAAAAGGATACAATAATGGATCTATTCTGCTTCATGTTGCTTGCTATAGAGGTAAAACTGTTTCATTGTTGAATCGGCTCATCTCGAGTGTGCTTCATTGTTTGCAATAGAGGTAAAGCTGCTTCGATTTTGGATTTACTCTGTCTGGGTGTTGTAGCGAAAATCTACAACACACACACACACACACACACACACACACACACACACACACAGGTGCCTTCTTGCTGGATGAGTCTTCTGCCTTAGGTAAGTGCCTTTTGCCCTCCATCCCTTTATGGATTATGAAAAATATATGATGAGTCGTGCTGCTCCCCACGAATAGATTGGAGCTTTCTTTCTTTAAAAAAAAAAAAAAAAAAAAAAAAAAGCCTCTGACAAAACAGTCTTCGCTCACAGCCCCTCGTTTGTTGTCCTCTTCTCCCTCTCTTCACTCACAGCCCCTCATTTGTTGTCCTGTTCTCCCTCTCTGCCTACGGTTTACCGGGCATATCTGTTTGACGATATCTATACCTATATCTATCTATATCTATATCTATTTACATATATACATATGCAAATGTGCAAGTGTGCCGCTTCGGCGGCAGACGGGTGTGAGGGCACTTGGCGCTGAACCACACAAATGTGGCCAACCTTGCCTTTTCTACTATTTTGCCTACCTCTACTTTTTTTTTTAAATGGATGGTTTATGATGATTCGTGGAGGGAATCAGAGAGAGAATCTGGGGTTCCTTAAAAAAAAAAAACACATAGGAGTGTCAGTGCTGCTGTGCTTGTGGGCTGACTCGGAGGGCTCTCCAAGTGTTTTTGGACTAACCAGATGCCCACAAATAAGCGGAAGACTTGTTTATCTTGCATGGGTCTTCCGCTTATTGGACCCGCGTTTTGGCCCTCTGATTGCACGGGTCTTCCCGGGATACCCCGGGGGGTCATCTGCCCATGGTTGGAAGAGGTCGCGATGGCAGCCAACCAGCTGGACCCAGCCCTTCACCAGCCTTCCCCTCTCCTGTCTCTGGGCTTCTCGTCCTTCCCGAGGTGCCTCAGTGTGCTATCCCCATATCCCGGCCTTCTTTCGCTCCCTTTGTAGCTTGATCCGTCCCTCTCTCGCGGTTTCCCCAGCTTTAGTTGGGGGGGGGTCCGGGGTCTGCCGCTCTAGAAGGACCTTAGAGTGGCTGTTGAGGTCTAGAGTGAGCTATGCTCTGACCGTTTGCCGGTCCAGAGGTTGTTGGTCGGGGCCAATTGAGCTTGAGGTTACCTCGGACCACCATGCCTATCTTCCGGATCCCCAAGATCTGTGTGGCGAAGTCCCAGTGGAGCTGCTGGGTCGTCGCCATGATGGTACAGGCTGCTCGGCGCACCCTGAGCCACTCGGCTCTGTATTCAGCATCCAGCAACCACAGCATCTTGCTCCAGGCCTGTTCCTCCATCCGCTTCTGACCGTCGATTGCCTCTTAACAGCATCTCTTCCAGATGGTCCAGAGGGCCAGGGGTCTTAATCTGTTGAAGAACTCCTGGCGGTAGGCCTCTGTGTGTGGTACTTCACCGGATCCTGTAAGTATTATGAGCGGGGTCGCTGGGAAAAGGGTGTCCAGCAGAGTTCGCCATAAGTCTGCGGCTCTGTTCCAAATCTGCCGAGCCTTGCGGCAGTGAAGCAGGCAATGGCCGATGTCCTCCTTTTGGCCAGTGCCGCAGTGTGCACACAGATCGTCCAATGGTGTCCGTTGTGCGGGGCTGCATTCTTATTTTTATCTAATTTTCCGCCCCTGCCGGGCAAGTGGTCCCAGGCCAGTCTGGTTTCATTCTGCCATGAAAGTGGTCCCCGGCCGGGCAAATGGCCTACCTGTCCAGAAAGGTGTTTTTTTTTTGTTTTTTTGTTTTTTTTTTCCAAAAAAATAGCTCCTTCTATTCTGGGGAGCGTCAGTCCGGTTCCTATTCCACCGGCAAGTCACAGCATAATACATTACAGAGTAAGAACACACGCTTCCTCCCGTCCGGCCGGAGGACCCCTGAACAGCATTGATTACTCCGCCCTTGGCGGAGGATTGACTGTCAGCTTGCCTTGAGTCTCTCTTCCCTCTCAGATCTTCCCTAACAGATCTGCCTGAAATTCCTGTTCAACCTAGGAAGAGATCCTCCCTTGCTGCCATGTGATCTACCTTCCTCTTTTTACCAATTCTTCACAAAAGCTGTGTTCCCCCCTGTTCCCTAAAACCCCTTTCTCTGCCTTTTAAGTGTTGTAAAACCCTAAACCCTAAACCCTGCTTCCTCCCCTGACCCTTTAATTGGTGTCCCTTGTCCCTTATTCTCCCCCTTCAATACTTGACCTCCTTGGCTGTACGTCCCTTCCCTGCTGCTCCCTCTCTTTTGCCCCAGCCCCGTTTGTATCTCAGTCCTGTCGTTGCGAAGTTAGATTTATTTTAAGTGGGTCTTAGGTTCCCTCCCTTTGCGATTTCTTCTGCAGATCACTCCTCCCTCCCGCAGTTTATGGTAGTCCCAGCTCCTGGTCCCCATTCTCGTCCTCATATGGCGGGTCCTGGAGATCGTCCTTAAACCAATGGAAGCGCAAGGCTTTCCCTTCCAATGAAGCCACCTTGCCCCCTGCTAGAACCTTAGTCCGAAACTTGTTAATTATTTCCTTAGCCTTATCTGGATTTAATTCTTCCTGCCTCTCCGCTTGCTTCTTGGCTCTCTGCCATTGTGCCCTGATTTCTGTTTCCAGCGGGTTGTACATTATTCCTCTGGCTTCCATTATAGTCATATGATTCCCTCCTACCACCCTTTGGCATCTTGTTTTCCACACTGTCCGCAGTGCGTAGAGTCTCAGTAGCTGGAAAATGTATTTTTGGCAGGAATTCCAGTCTTTGGGCGCTTCCATGTTGATTAGGAGTCTGTCTCTGATCGGAGGGAAGGGAACTTCCGTGACCCGGGACCATAGTGTGCGAGCTAATGCCCACACCTTCTCTGCCTCCGGGCATGAGATTAAGCAATGGACCATCGTTTCCAGAGCCCCACCCGTACACAGGGTACAGTTTCGTTCCTCCTCTGTCCTAGCTTGCCTGCTTCTTCTTTCATACAACCAAGAGTTGACTGGGAGGGCCACGTGGAGGATGAGCCCTTTTAGACTTCTGACCTTACCCAATCTTATACTGTGAAGGGACGACCAGGGCAACTTCCCCACCTGGTCTCTTGGTATCCCCTCCCTCTTTTCCCATCTTAAGGCTAGGGGAAGGTCCAGATGGGTCGATCTTCTCCTCAGCCTATAACCCAGTCTCGTTGTATAGCGGAGAATGTTAATCTTCGTTGTCACTCGTGTCTCTCCACCCCTAATATTCCATGCCCATTCCGCCGGGTCGTACTCCAAATCTTCAATGGCCACCGTGGGTGCAAATACTGTAAATTCGTCATCCTCTACCACTTCCTGAGCAGGCACTTCTTAATTGTGATTGCTGTCTTAGATTCCTTATCCAGGTGACTCACTGTGATTCCCGGATTACGAATTACGAACATCTCTGCATCAAGCCACTGTTTATCGGGGCCCACTTCCTGCTGCACCCGGAAGGCCAGCTCTGGAACTGCACTTATATGCCAGGTCGCCCAATCACCCCATTCCCATTTGCACGGCCCTCTCAACAACTGCGTCCATTCTTGCGGAATGGAGATTAGAACATCATTTAGATTCTCCGTAAGCTTATGACAACCTTTCATCGTGGTTCTCAGTTCCCTCCCTGTCTTCCATCTATTATCATTCTGGGACCATAAGTGCTTGATCTGCCAGACCCCGTGTTCCAACCAATTCCCCCATTTGGTGTCCCTAGCTGTTAGTGTCCTCGGCTTCCCTTGGGAATCCTGTAACCAGGGGTTACAGAACAAGGGTTGCCTGAGAACTTCCTCCTTGGATCTAGGTTTCCGTACTCTAGCCGGGAATATCTCTTCCCATATCCTAAGAATCTCTGCCCAGTATGATGGGGAGGAAGTTCCCTCCTCACCCCCCCGCTCCCTTGGCCTACCCCTTTTTGCCCACCCTTTGCAGAATATCTAGAAGGTGCCCTCCATATTTGGAGGAGTTGACAACTTCGAAAGCCCTCGTATGTGCTCCAATACTAGGGGGACCCAGCGCAAGTGGGGTTGCGTTACCAGCTTGATAATCCATTTTGATTGGAGTGCCTTAATCTGCTGCTCTGGATCCAGGATGCCCAGTCCCCCCCGATCCTTTGTTTGTGTTACTTGTTTCCAGGCTACCTTAGAAATGAAGTTATCCTTGGTCGGGTTCCATGTCCACAGATAGGCTGCTGCAACCCTTTGGAGCCTTCGAAGTGTTGAACCTGGGGGTGACCACAGGGTGCCCGCA